TGACCAATGGAGTATAACGGAGGAAAATGTGAAGCTGTTCATTTTGTAAAGGCGAACAAAAAACAGAATATAATTTAAATGGAGAAAAACTGCAGAAAGCTGTGACACAAAGAGACTTGAAGGTACTCGTGAATGAAACACAAAAAAGCTAGCTCACAGGTGCAACAGCTAATCAGGAAGGCTCATGGAATGGTGACCTTTGTATTCCAACCCCTTGAAATAAAGGAAGGGAAGACTTACTGCAAATGTATAGGGTGCTAGTGAGACCACATCAGGAGTACTGTCAGCAGTTTTGATGCCATTATTTGAGGAAAGATATCATTTCATTGGAGGTAGTTCAGAGAAGGTTAGCAAGGATAATCCCTGTATCCTTGAGGGATTGTCTTATGAGCAAAGGCAAAATAGGTTGGGACTCTATTCACTGGACTTTAGAAGAATGAGAGGTGATATCATTGAAACACATAGGATTCCTTAAGTGACACGACAGGGTAAATACTGAAAGAATGAGAGTTTAGGACCAGAGTGCACAGTTTCAGATAAAAGGGATGCCAATTTAAGACTGAGGTGAGGAGGAATTTCTTCTCTCAGAGGGTTGAGAGTCGTTGGAACTCCTTGCCACAGAAAGCTGTAGGGGGAGAGTCCTTGTGTATATTTAAGGCTAAGATAGATCAATTCTTGGGTCAGTTGAGAAATCAAGAGTTATGGGGTAAAGGCAGGAAAGTGGACGTGAGAAATGACGGATCAGCCATGATTGAATGGCAGAACATGCTTGAGGGGCTGAATGGCCTACTCCTGTTCCTACTTCTTATGGTCTTACCTAGCTCTAACGCCTTCCTAAAACTGTAGTTAGTTTTCAAACAACTAATCAGTGCCACAGATTTTTAAACAAAAAATGCAAATTATTTCTCATCTCTAATTCAGTTCCAATGGACAGTGATTAAAGAACTATACAGACTATGGGAAGTCTTGTGACTTACTTCTGTTGAATGGATCAATCAATATGGGGAAGTTACTACAATCAACTTCAGTACTTTGGAGCAGAAAAGGGTTAAAAAGGTGGCGGGGACAGCAGCCAAAGGCTTCACGCTTCATCACAACCCAAAATGCATGTGTATGATCTTTAACCAAGGACTGGCATTCTCTTCTTTGACTAACAGCATTCCCAAACTCCCTGCTATGAGATAACAAGATGTAGAGCTGGATGAACACAGCAGGCCAAGCAGCATCAGAGGAGCAGGAAAGCTGACGTTTCGGGTCTGGACCCTTCTTCAGAAATGGGGGAGGGGAAAGGGATTCTGAAATAAATAGAGAGGGGAGGAGACGGATGGAAGATGGATAAAGGAGCAGCTAGGTGGAGAGGAGACAGACAGGTCAAAGAGGCGGGATGAGGCTGGTAGGTAGGAGGTGGGGGTGGGGCTTAAGGTGGGAGGTGTGGAGAGGTGGGAGAAAGGACAGACAGGTTAGGGAGGCAGGGACGAGCTGGGCTGGTTTTGGGATGCGGTCGGGGGAGGGGAGATTTTGAAGCTTGTGAAGTCCACATTGATACCATTGGGCTGCAGGGTTCCCAAGCGAAATATGAGGTGCTGTTCCTGCAACCTTCGGGTGGCATCGTTGTGGCACTGGTGGAGGCCCAGGATGGACATGTCGTCCAAGGAGTGGGAGGGGGAGTTGAAGTGGTTCGCGACTGGGATGATGCGTTTTGCAGACAGGAAATATAGGCAAACTTCCACATTGTTATGTATACCCTTAAGTCACAGATATACCAGGAATATTGGGTACAGAAGCGGTTAACTTGAATACAGAAGCTTTCTGAATTACAGCTTAGCCTGATATCCTGCATTTCAACAAGTTGCAGATCAAACTGCATCGCGATTTACTTTATAGCTTGTGATAACATTCTACAAATAGGACCTGCAAGTTTTAGGTGTCATCCTTACTTTGCCCTTAATTGCCTGGAGTGAAACAATTAATGGATTAATGTAGACTTCCTTCAGACATTGTGATGAGATCTGTCTGGAAGACAGTGTGAATCTTGCCCATTGAAGGCATTAAGTTCGAAGAGCCAAAAGAAACCTATGACAGTGTGACCAGTACATCAGAAATTATTACACTCTCTTCTCTGGTACAAATCCTTGTCATTACCAAAGTAAATAGCCACAGTGAAACTCAGTCCAGGTGTTTAATTATTAGTGAAGACTTCAGAGATAACAATAAGGAGTTGAATGAGAGAAAATGCTTACTTCCCCTTTTGTAAACAACTTAACCACTGATTAAAAGGGTAACTAATTTCTATTCCCAAATTGATAATATTCAGTCTAGCATTATTCAACACATTATCTTCTAGGAGTCTAGACCTGAATGTGAACCATTTGGAGGATGCCAGAATCTAATATGCTATGGGGTTTGAAGTGAGAGTCAGCATTGCTGATTTCCATAGCGCTCCTGGGCAGGTATGGTGGAGTGCTGTCAATACCTGCACACATGCTCATGATATGCTCCATATTTAGTGGAGAAATCAGTTGGACAGGTTAGGCTTAGCTATTCTTAAAAACGATAAAGACCACTTTCCCAATCTGTAGTTTAGCCACACAGATAATCAAAATGGCAAGATCAATCTTGGTTTAGTGAGCTTGATGGAGCCTTTACTTGGGAGGAGGCAAAAGCAAGTACAGAATTCAGGAAGATGGACAGTGAAGTTCTTGACCAGATTGACAAAAACAGCGAGCAAATGTTACAGGTTTTGGCAGATTTAAAAGTAGACAAAACAAAAGTAGACAGGTTGCTAAGGGAGACAAGGGAGAAAATTAGAGGGGCCTTGATCAAAATTTTTAAATTGTCCCTGGCCATGGCGGAAGTGCTAGAGGACTGGGGGGTCTAATGTGGCTTCCATTATACAAGAAGTGTAGTACAGATACGCCAAAGAACTATACATCAGTGAGCCTCACACCAGTGATAGGGAAACTATTAAAGAAAATAGTGCGTGCAAAAAGTACTCTCCATTTGACTGGATCCAGGGTAACTTGGTAAGTTGGATCCAAAATTGGCTCAGTGACAGGAGACAGAGGCGGTGGTAGAAGGCTTTATATGAAACTGGAGTCCAGTGTGACTTGGCATACAATAGGGATCACTGATGTGTCCCTAATTGTTTGCAATAATCATAAATGATGTGAATGAGAATGTGGGACGGAATGATAAGCAAGTTTGCAGAAGACACATAGATTGGCCAGGTGATTGACGTGAAGAGGAAGTTGTTAGGTTACAGGAGGATATAAAAGGATATATAAGAAGTAAGATGGGTAGATCATTGGCAGATGGAATTCAACCCTGATAAATCTGAGGTCATGCACTTTGGAAGAAGTACGATGACAAAGGAATAGTCAATGAATGGCAAGACACTAGGAAGCTCAGAAATTCACTAGTATTTTGCCTGGCATGGAGCATTTTGTCTACGAGAAAAGGGTAGATAAGCTCAAATTAATTTCTTTAGACCACAGAAGATGGAGCAGGGATCTGACAGAAGTGTATAAGATTAAGAGGGCTGTGACCAGGGTGAATAGAAAGCAGCTTTTCCCCTTAGCTGAAGGGTCAACAACACAGGGATATAGCTTTAAAGTGAAAAGCAAAAGGTTTTGAGAGGCTTTGAGGAAAAAGCTTCTCATCCACAGGGTGGTGGGAATCAGGAATACACTGCATGGGACGGTAGTTAAGGCAGGGAAACCTCACAACCTTTAAAAAGTCTATGAATGAGCACTTTAAGTATCATAACATTCAAGGCTATGGGCCTAATGTGGGAAAGTGGCATTTGTGTAGGTAGTAGTATATTTTTTTGGCAGTACCGATTCGATGGGCCAAATGGTTTCTTCTGTACTTTATGATTCAATTTAGGGTGACATGATGGCTCAGTGGTTAGCACTGCTGCCTCACAACGCCAGGGACCCGGGTTCAATTCCATCCTCAGGCGACTGTCTGTGTGGAGTTTGCACATTCTCCCAGCGTCTGCATGGGTTTCCTCCAAGTGTTCTAGTTTCCTCCCACAGTCCAAAGATGTGCAGGGTAGATGGATTAGCCATGCTAAATTGCCCCTTACTGTCCAGAAATGTTCAGGTTGGGTGGAATAGCCATGGGAAAAAACGTAGGGTTACATGGCCAGTGAATCTAGCTGGGATCCTCTTCGCAGAGTCGATGTGGACTTGTTGGGCTGAATGGCCTATTACCACACTGTTGGGATTCTGTGACTGAATATTATGGGAGAATACAATTTGCCTCAAAGCTCCTGGGCTAGGGCAGAAGATGAGTTAGCAGGGATGGAATGTGGACATTGGCTGACAGGAAGATTTTGGAAAAAAAAAATCACAGCTAAAGCAATCCTAGACCGAACAAGTAGCTCCCACTGGTAGAGCAGTCATGTGGACACTGAGTGAGAACTGTGAAAGACCCACCTGCCGAAACCTCCAGCCTGGGCTTATACATGAATAACAGCCACATGTGAGAGGGTTCAGATAGCCAACAGCCTCCACGGAACAATTCCTATAAAAGACTCAGCTGGGTAAGGAGGAGTGTCAAATTCTGGGAGAAAATTGACAAGAGAAATAAAAACGTAGAACATTACAGCACAGTACAGGCCCTTTGACCCTCGATGTTGGGCCAAATGGCCTATTACCACACTGTTGGGATTCTGTGACTGATAAAAGAATTATACAGAAATTATAGCATAAAAAAAGGCATTCTGCCCAACTGGTCGATGACAGTATTTATGCTGTACGAGTAATCTCCCAGCTCACTTCATCTGAACCTATCAATCTGTACCTCTATTCCTCAGCCTCCTGACTGCCAAGTTGAAGCAATGCAATACACAGGTGAACCATTGCCAGGTCTCTTTAATATTTAAAACAATCCTCAATCACATGAAGTAGAAGTAACTGATTATGTTTTATATCAACCATATTACATTCGCTGTATTCTTTAAAGTGTTCCTACTGAGCCAGAAGTCAAAGGCCTACCTTTGAGGATCTGTGAAGCTGGTCACCGATGTATGTTTTCCGAAACTGATCAAAGAAACTGAGCAAAGCAAGCTCGACTTTTTCATTTCCTGACTGTGGCAGCCTGGAGTCAACCAAATTCACCAGCTGAAACACACTGAAAAAAGTCATTAAAATTTAACTACCAATGAACAGTCATGGCTCAGTAGGAGCAATCTAGCCCCAGAATCAGAACATCCTGAGATCATGAACCATTTTAGGGACTTGACAATAATTCTAAACTAGCAGTTCTGTACTGCCGCAGGTACTGCTTTTCAGATGAGAGGTTGAATCACAGCCCTGTCTGCTTTCTCAGGTGGATGTAAAAGTCTCACGGTACTTTTAGAAAAGCAGGACAGATCTCCCTAGTATCCTGGCCATGGCCAATGTCAATATACCTTGAAAAGCCTAGTAATTGAAGAGTGCCATTATTTGAGGGTTTTTGAGATCTCAATTTCCTACGATGTGAAGATGGGGAGGACAGAGGGAGTGACAGAGATGAGAAGGGGAATGGAATGATGGAGGTGTGGAAGTGGAGGATGTGAAAGTGGGCAGGGAGATGTGAAGGAGGAGGCTGTGCTGGAAATGGGGTAGGAGAAGGAAGAGGTAGAAACATCAACACAGAACAAGAACAAGAACAAGAACAAAGAACAATACATCAAAGGAACGGGCCCTTTGGCCCTCGAAGCCTGCAGTGACACATTTTGCCCTTCCATTTTAAAACTGTCTTCACTTACAGGATCCGTATTCCTCTGTTCCCTACCTATTTATGTATTCGTCCAGGTGTTTCATGAATGCTGCTATTGTGGCTGCTTCCACCACCTCCTCTCACAGCGCATTCCTGGCACTCACCAGCTTTTTAAACTTGCCATCTCCCCTTTCCCCCACCAACATCTTGAACCTGTGTCCCCTAGTAATTGACCACTCCACCCCGGGAAAAAGCCTCATACTTTCCACTCTATCCAAGCCATTCACAATCTTATAAACTTCGATCAGGTCGCCCCTCAACGTACTGCATTCCAGTGAAAACAAACCCAATCTATCCCACCTTCCTTCATACCTAAAATTCCCTATACCAGGCAACATCTTCTGTACTCTCTCCAAAGCATCCACATCCTTCTGGTAGTGTGGTGACCAGAACTGTATGCAATATTCCAAGTGTAGTCTTACTAGAGTTTTATAAAGCTGCAGTATAACTTGCCTATTCCTACACCCAATGCCACTTCCAATGAAGGCAAGCATGCCACTGGTCTTTTTTACTACCTCATTTACCTGCACTGCCACCTTCAGTAATCTGTAGACCTGCACACCCAGATCCCTCTGCAGATCAATACTCCTAAGGGTTCTGCCATTCACTGCATAATTTCCACTTGTAGTTGACCTTCCGAAATGCATCACTCACATTTGTCTGGATTAAACGCCATCTGCCATTTTTTCTGTTCATGCCTTCATTTGATCTATGTCATGCTGTATCAAAAGAGGGGGAACTGTGAATGGGGGGGTGGTGGGGGAGATGGAGATAAGTGGTACGGGATGGGTGAAGGCACTAGGGTGTTGGCACCGCCGGATCCTACAGCAGTAATTAGGCCTCTCTTTTGGATTCAGAACCCTTGCTTCAGAAGTGGTTAAAGGATGTCTCTTGTTTCTCCTTACCACTGCAGAAAGCAATTTCTGTCCACCATTCAGGGGCCTTGAAATGATGTGCAGTACTGAAATACAGGCATTATCTAAAAGCCAACAGCTGATGATATCATATTGCTGCTCGTGGGATCATGCTGTTCACAATTTGATTGCTCCATTTCCTACAATATTGACCTCAAAAGCAGTTCTTTGACAAAGTGCTTTGGGACATCTTGAAAATATAGGTCTCTATGTACAAGTTTTTCTTTCTTTCTTTCTTTATCAATCATTATTGATCAACTCTTAAGTTTCAAATTTCCAAAGACCCTCATTTCCTCAATTTTTCATCATAACTTTAAAACTATTGTTCAGAGATTTGTAGTGGCTTACAGTTATGAAAGGCACTATATAAATGCAAGGTTAAATTCCTTAGCGTGTGAGAGCTGATGTGGGGATGACAGGATTAACCTGTTCACTGTGATGTTCGTAGAGCATTAAATGTTATTAATGATTATCATAAACATCCGGTGTCCACCATCATTTACATCCTATTGCATGTACAGAAGCTGATCTGATATAGACTACACACAATGTGATTTTAAACGCTCAAGCATTTCGGGAAGGATTGTAGCTGATCTGAAAGCAAGAATCAGTTAAATGATACTGAAGATTGCCACAATGCTGGAGAGAACTGGCATCAAGGTTCTACAATCTTAAATTGGAAATCCGGGTGCAGGCAGAAAGGAGGAGGGACATCCTCTATTTAAGGGACAATAGCATGAGGAGGGGAAACATCCTTCAATTGATAAGCATGAGGTGGAGAGGCAAATGACATCATGTGTCCTCAGGGTCAAGAGGAGGAGGGATACCCTCTTTTCTCAGGCTGAAGAGGAGGAGAGGCATCTTCCTCTATTCTCAGGATGAAGAGGAGGAGGAGAATTCTACGTCCTCAGAATGAAGAGGTAGAGGGACATCCTGTGTCATCAGGGTCAAGAGGAGGAGGAGCATCCTCTATTTTCAGGATGAAGAGGAGGGGCATGCCCCTCTATTCTCAGGATGAAGAGGAGGTAGGGCATCCTCCTCTATCATTATCAGTGCATTAACAAATCACTTGATTCTCCTGCAGCAACAAAACTTATCAAAATCTCAGTCTTAATAATATTCAAGACTGAACATTCTCAAGTTGCTGGGATAGTGAATTTGAAGATGGACAACACTCTGAAGAAATTTCCTCTCATCTTCATACTAAATGAGCAGCTACTCTTCAATGCCCCCTGGTTCTAGGCTTTCCATCCAAGCAAAAACTTTGTTGCTATCAAGCTTGTTGGGTGGTACTTTGTCAAATGCCACTTGGGAGTCTATGTTCACCACATCAACTGCATTCCACTTAACACCCTCTCTGTTACCCCATCAAAAAACTCAATCAAATTAGTTGGTACATCCACAAACTAAATCGGAAAATTTTCTTGTACACACTTAACAAATTCCTCTCCATCTAGCCCCTTAATACTATGGCAGTCCCAGTCTACATTTGGCAAGTTAAAATCCCCTACCATTACAACACTATTTTTCTTACAGATAATTGAGATCTCCTTACATATTTGCTTCTCAACTTCCCACTGACTGTTGGCAGGAGGTCTATTGTACAATCCCAATCACATAATCATTTATTTCTCAGTTCCACCCAAATAACTTCCCTGGACATACTCCCTAACTACAGCCATAATGTTATCCCTAACCAAAAACACCACTCCCCCTCCTCTCTTGCCCCTCTTTCTATCCTTCCTATAGCATCTACACCCTGGAACATTAAGCTGCTCACTTGTCCATCCCTGAGCCACATTCTGTAATAGATATGATTCCAGTCCCCTTTTTGCAACCATGCCCTTTGTTCATCTGCCTTACCTATCAGAACTCTTGCATTGAAACAAATGTAGTTTAATATATCAGTTCTACCTCATTCTCTGCCTTACTCTTGCCAGCCTTGACTTGCTCCTCATCTCAACTGTACCAGCCTCAGATTTATCCCTTTTCTTACTATCTCTTTGGGTCACCCCTTCTCACCTGATTAAAGCCTCCCAAGTAGCACTAGTAAATCTCCTTGTTCCCTTCCAAATCAACCCATCCTTCTTATACAGGTCACATCTATCCCTGAAGAGATTCCAGTGATCCAAAAATGTGAATCCTTCTCCCCTGCACCAGGTCCTCCGCCACACATTCATCTGCTCTGAACTCCTATTCCTACTCTCACTAGCAGGTGGCACCAGGAGTAACCCAGACATTACTACTCCCGAGGATCTACATTTTAACCTCCTGCCTAATATCCTATATTCTCTCATCCTTTTCTCTTTCTATGTCAATGGGATCAATGTGTACATTGACTTCCTGCTGATCACTTTCCCCTTTGAGAATATTCTGGACCCTGTCTGAGGCATCTGTGACTCTGGCACCAAGGAGGCAACACATCATTCTGATGTAACAAGGTGTAGAGCTGGATGAACACAGCAGGCCAAGCAGCATCTTCAGAAATGGGGGAGGAGGATAGAAGATGGATAGAGGAGAAGATAGGAGGAGCGGAGACAGACAGGTCAAAGAGGCGGGGATGGAGCCAGTAATGGTGAGTGTAGGTGGGGAGTTAGGGAGGGGATAGGTCAGTCCAGGGAGGACGGACAGGTTAAGGGGGCGGGATGTGGCTAGTAGGTAGGAGATGGGGGTGTAGCTTGAGCTGGGAGGAGGGGATACGTGGGAGGAAGGACAGGTTAGGGAGGTGGGGACAAGCTGGGTTGGTTTTGGGATGTGGTAGGGGGAGGGGAGATTTTGAAGCTTGTGAAATCACATTGATACCATTGGGCTGCAGGGTTCCCAAGCAAAATATGAGGTGCTGTTCCTGCAACCTTCGGGTGGCATCGTTGTGGCACTGCAGGAGGCCCAGGATGGACATGTTGTCTGAGGAATGGGAGGGGGAGTTGAGATGGTTCGCGACTGGGAAGTGCAGTTGTTTAGTGCGAACCGAGCGTAGGTGTTCCGCAAAGCGGTCCCCAAGCCTCCGCTTGGTTTCCCCGATGTAGAGGAGGCCACAATGGGAACAGCGGATGCAGTATACCACATTAGCAGATGTGCAGGTGAACAGGGGGGCAGGTGTAGCACTTCCTGCGGTTGCAGGGAAAAGTGCCGGGTGTGGTGGGGCTGGAGGGGAGTGTGGAGCGGATAAGGGAGTCACGGAGAGAGTGTCCCTACGGAAAGCAGATAAGGGTGGGGAGGCAAAAATGTCTGACGTGGTGGGGTTGGATTGCAAATGGCGGAAGTGTCGGAGGATGATGTGTTGGATCCGGGGTAGTACGTGAGGACGAGGGGGATTCTGTTTTGGTTGTTATTGGGGGAGGGGGTGTGAGGGATGAGTTGCGGGAAATGCGGGAGACACGGTCGAGGGCGTTCTCGACCACTGAGGGGTGGAAGTTGCGGTCCTTGAAAAACGAGGACATCTGAGATGTTCGGGAGTGGAATGCCTCATCCTGGGAGCAGATGCGGTGGAGGCAAAGGAATTGGGAATAGGGGATGGCATTTTTGCAGGACGGTGGGTGGGAGGAGGTGTAATCTAGGTAGCTGTGGGAGTTGGTGGGCTTGAAATGGATATCGGTTTCCAGGTGGTTGCCAGAGGTGGAAACAGAGAGGTCCAGGAAGGAGAGAGAGGTATCAGAGATGGTCCAGGTGAACTTAAGGGTGGGGTGGAAGGTGTTGGTGAAGTGGATGAACTGTTCGAGCTCCTCGTGGGAGCATGAGGCGGTGCCGATACAGTCATCAATGTAACGGAGGAAGAGGTGGAGTTTAGGGCCAGTGTTGCTACGGAAGAGGGATTGTTCCACGTAATCTACAAAGAGGCATCTCGCTGTTGGATGCAGAAATGTCTGATTGTGCCTCTGACTAGACAGTGCTTTATCTCAATTTATCACTTGAAACCTGATGTATCCCTCCTTATAGTACAGCCAGTCTCAGTACCAGAAACTTAGCAGTCAGTGCTATATTCCCCTGACAGTCAATCACCCCTTACGTTTTCCAAAACGTGTTGTGGTGGTGCTGGTGTTGGACTGGCATGGACAAGGTCAGAAATCACACGACACCAGGTCATAGTCCAACAGGTTTGTTTGAAAACACAAGCTTTCGGAGTCAACACCTAAAGAAGGAGTAAGACTCTAAAAGCTTGTGTTTTCAAATAAATTTGTTGGACTATAACCTGGTGTCGTGTGATTTCTGACGTTTTCCAAAACAGCATACAT